AGGAAAAAAGTTAGATGTGACTATTTCTGAGAGCTTTTTACTATAACAAAACTCAAATCGGTAAAATGAATGGAGCCATAAATTTAATATTTTCTTATTTTTTCAAAATTTTTTAAACAATAATAATTATTTTCATTTTTCTCTTTTTCTGAAAACTCCTTTATTTGTATGTCCATATACTGGTTTTATTTTTTTTTATAAAAAATGTTCTCATATGTAAATTTTTTAAAATTTTATTTGTTTATATGTACAAATTGAATATTAAAATTTTTATTTATAGAAAATTACATATAACATTATTAGTTATTAATCAATAGACATCTTAAAAAAAATAATTTATTTTGCATGGGCAATGTAACAATTTTAGGAATCAAATTAAACCTCCCATCTTTTTTTTTTTCAAATACCAAAAACAAGTAGCAGGAACAACAATTATTTATTCCTCTCATACTAAACAACTTTGAGAAAAATTACAATTCATTTATTTTTTCCCACTCTCATCTCTCATACCTAATCCATATCCATCTCTCCTATCATACGAAGTAACGAAAAATGTGAAAAAAATAACATAAAAAAATAGGTGAAAAATGTATAACATAAGTGGGGGATTTTAGATTAGTTTGGTAGTGCTATAGATTTAAAAAAAATTACTTTTAGCTGTGTTAAAGGAAGAAGCAGCTGTTACAAAAATCAATTGAGGTTTCGTAAACTATAATTATAGTAACTGTGTTGGTTCCAAAATCAGTGTAATAACGTTTGGTAAATTATGAGGTTAAATTGCTGTAAATAATTAAAAATTACGACTATATTATATTATACTATAATATAATATATATATATAATTACAATATAATATATATTTATTATTATATTTAATATAATACAAAAAAACTATTATTATATAATTATGATATAGAATATAATAATATTATTAAAATAATAATTTAAAAATAACGATTATATTATATTATAATATATATAATATATTTTATTATATAATCATTATTATATTATATTAAATAAATATATTATATAACTATAACGTGTGTAGTACACTATAATATATAACAATATTAGAATTATAAGATTATATTAATATTTAATTATATTAATTATTATATTATTATTAATATAATAAATATAATTATATCAATATAATATAATGTAATAATATTATTAATATAATAAATATAATTATATCAATACAATATAATATATAATATATTATAAAATAATAATTAGAATATCATATTATAATTATATTATAATTATAATATCATATTATTAAAATGATTATAATATTATTATAATATCATCTTATATGATAAAATAATAATATTAGAGTTATTAATATAATTATGATATTATTTGTTATAATATTATATTATATTACGAGTCTGAATTTTAGATTGAGAATATTGTAAATTTTAAATTTTATTAGGGATATTATGGGTATTATGAAAGTTTCATTAATTGTACTATGATAATTCCCGCACAATCTAAAAGCTAAAGTTGTCTTTAGGCTGCTTTTGATTTTGGCTGTTGATTCTTGAAAAACTCTTCAAAAAGTACTTTTAAAGAGATTTACTAAACACTTAAATCAGCTTCTACTACGAGCAGAAGCTGATTTTGAGAAGGAAAAGCAATACCAAACTAAGCCACTACCAAAGGAGAGTAGACGAGTCATAATCAAGGTCACGTGACTCGATCAAAATTCAGATGCTACATTTGCATACATGTGAAGTTTCTTTACTACCATTTTTTTGCACTTTCGAATTTATATTTTTATTGTACGGGAGTTTCTCTTATAAGATCGGAATAAATTACTGATAATTTTTTTATTTTTAGCAGTTAGATCCGTATCAATATATTTTTCATATTTTTCAATCTAATATAATTTTAATCAAATCTAACGGTCAGAAATTAGCCTTATCGATAGACCGGTCTACCAAAGGAGGTCCTTTATTATACTCTGAATTATAACTTCATAAATTATTTGCATTAAACACCACATTATTTAACGAGGAAAAATTTCATGGCGGTTCTCATATTTTCTTTTAAAATTTAGTTTTCATGAAACAACTAGTTGCATTAGTAAATTTAGGCAAGAAAATTGAGCTACTAATAACCACGTGTTACACATCATTGAACTTGAAAATCTTCTTTACTTTTTGCTATTAACTTGGATACTTCAGTACCAGAATTGTATTTTATTGTGAATTATGCATTACAAACATCATATTTGATGGAAGGAAATAGTCAACTTTACATTTCAATTGTTTAATTTTATTCAAATGCAAGTGGTGGTAGTAGTTCACTTTCAAGTTCTTGATCTCCATACAAGTCAAAAAATAAAAAATAAAAAAGGATATTGTATTGTAGAGCACGTTTGGTATAAGGATTATAAAACCTGAAACCATGATTCTGGTTTAAACCAGTATTTATTTATAAAAAAGTAAAAGGTGGTTTTGATTTGACTCACTCATAATCAGTGTTTAATTTGGATGATTCTAATTCAAAATTTGAACACTAATGTGATGTTTTAAAGCAGAATCACCCATTATTATAAAACTACCCATCTTAGTTTTAGGTGGTTCAAATCCTTGATTTTGGTTCTGCTTTCAGAATCATGATTTAAGCTCAAAATCATGAATCATAATTCTAGTTCCAAAATCAAAACTAAAATCACTATAATTTAAATGCTTGTACCAAACGAAGCCTAAGTGTAGTTTTATTTTCTAGTAGCAATTTTCAATAATATTTGTGGTGAAAGACCCCGAGATTGCTTCTTTTTTTTCTTCTTCAATAGGTTTATATGTGAGATTGTTGCAAAGGTAATGCTTAAAATTGCTTCAAAACGATTCTTATATGATTTTTGAGTTCTATTCACAGCATTGGAACATCTTCTCATTAATTCTCATCAGTTTGGTCTATATGATGTGTGTGGATAAGCATCAGCACCAAAAGAATCGGAAAAGAAAAGAAAAAAAAAAGAGTATATTGTTGAGAATCTTGGATATGACATGTGTAATAAGGGTATAATGGTCAAAGCATTTGTTTAAACTTAGTTTGTAAGTAACCTGTTTTACTTGACGTTTTTTTTTCCCTCCTTAATTGTGTTGTGGTGATGAGTGGTAAGGGGAGTGGGGAGAGTCGGAGAAAATTAACCGGCATTATTCGAGTTTATAATTTAAGTTTTATTATAATAAAAAATTATTAAAAATAATTATATTTAATTTTTTTATTATAATAAAAAATTCTCACATAAAGTCACATCTCAACTC